AAAATCCCTAAAGTGCGCTTGAGCTCTATACGATCCAAAAATGCACGTCATACTGGCCGGCCCACTCAATGGTGCTTGCGTGTAGCTTCAACAAACTCACACATGGAGGGCTACAAGAGACCGCGAGAGCTCCATCTCGATTATTAAGAGACATAAGGTCATCTCGACTTCAGAGTCGTCCGAGTGGGAGACTGTAGGAATTACATAGGAGCATTTTTTGGAAGGTTCTATGAAACATGGGAGTTGATTTTAGGGACTCTCATTTGGTTTAGTTCATTTTTTTATTTTTTATTTTCTTGGTTTCTATTGGTTTGCCGCTTTCCTCTTTCATTTTTTCTTTTTTCTTCTTGTTTTTTCTCCTTTTCTCTTTTCCCATTTTCTTTTTTCCTTTCTCTTTTTTCTCATTTATTTATTCTTCTTTTTCATTTTAAAATACACATTGACATTTTCTAAACCAATGTTTAACTTTTTTAATACATATAGAACAATTTTTAGATGCACATTAATTTTATAAATACATTGAACAATTGTCAAATAACATCGAATAATTTTAAATACACGGTGAATATGTTTAAAGCACATTGAAGATTTTGAGAATACATCATGATTTTTTTCAAATGTATGAGCTTTCTATTTAAATTTTGAAATTAATTTTTTAAAATTTCATGAATATAGAAACGTGGACATTTTTTTTACAATAACACAAACTAAGGTTTAGTCTCGTGAACAGTTTTAATGCACAGTGAACTTTTGAAAAAATAAGTATGTAACATGTGGAATAGCAGGCAAATACATACAACGAAACAAAGTGTTGCCACATGCTTAATAAAGTGTTCATGACAATTCAACATTTTTTAGACATTTGCAAAAAAGTTCTTGACACTAAGAAAAAATGGTACCATTCAACGAAAATTTCACATGCTTTGAAAAATGTACTTGAAATGTAAAACAATTTGTTAGCATAATTTTTCAAAAATTCATGACATATAGAAGCGCTCATAACTATTAAAAATATGTTCACAACATTTAAACATGTTTTCGCACAAATTTTTATAAATGTTCATCACATATGAAGAAAATCTTCGTGTAATTTTAAATAATGTTCTAACAATTTAAAAAATGTTCCCACATTTGAAAAAAAATAATACATTTTCAAAAAATTCTCAACAAAATTTGATGTTGTGTTCACCTTGTATTTACAAAATGTTCACCATGACGTGGACTAGGTCTTTATCGCTAGTAAGATAATCGGGTAGGGTATGGACATACCCATTGGCACAAAATCATAACCGTGACCTACCCACAACTAGTCGGATAGTGTTTAGGCACTACCCATGGAAACAAAAATGTGGCCATACCCTACCCCTACGGGGTCAGGTACCCATGGGTAAAATTGCCATCCTTAACAGTTTGTTTGGTTTTTTTCAGCCATTTCTTATGTTCATTTATTTTTAAAAAATATGTGTTAATGAATTTTAAAAACAATGTTGACAGATAATTATAAAATGTTCATTATTTAGTTTAATTTTCTGATTTTGAAAAAACTTCGAAAATAAAAATATTGTAAATTTCAAACTATTGTAGGATTTAAAAAATCTTCATGAAAGTTTTAAAAATAATAAAATAAAAAGATAACCATAAGAAGAAAAATGAAAACCTAGGAAAAAGGAAAAATCAAAATTAAACTAGTAAAAATCACAAGTAAACACAAGGGGAATTCAAAAATCATAGAAGATCTTGTAGAACTTTCCCAGAGTCGGAGGAAAAAATAGGAAAGAAGTTGTAATGGGCTCACCTGAACTGGTGTACATGCCTAGCGCCGGGGACGTTTATGTCTTGCTTCAATTGAAACCGACGAATGCCTGACCCACATCGCAAGGCTAGTTGGGCCATGCACAGCTAGTGCGACTTAGCTTCAATGCTACGTATGGTTTTGGGGTTTTGGTCTTTTATTTTTTATTTTCATCTTTTATATATATTTGGAGTCGTGCTTTAAAAATATTTTATTGAAAACATATTTGTTATATTATTGTTATAGAAATCTTCTTCATGGTATAAAAAATGTTCGCGCAGCATGAGAAAGTGGTCCCAGTTTTTTTCATAAAGTGTTCATGACACTTCAGCATTTGCAACCAAAATCATGACAGTAAATAAAATATGGTAACGTTCCATACCATTCCATACAAATTTTCACACATTTTTACAAATGTTCACAACATTTAAAACAAATGTTGGCATAATATTTCAAGAATGTTCATGACATATAAAAAGTGTTCGTAACTATTAAAATATGTTCACAACACATAAATGTTCCTCCGTGCAATTGTTTTCTAAAATGCTTGTAACATTTTAAGAAAATCTTTGTGTAATTTTTAATGTTCATAATACTTAAAAAATGTTACACTTTTTTTTTAAATTTTTATGACATTTTTGGAAAAAGTTCCACAAGATTGTTAGTAATGTTCACCTTTAATTTACAAAATGCTGCAGCAGCCGATTCTGCCTTCTTTTTTGTGCTACAGTCTTGCGTACTTTCAGAAGTTCAGCCATCTATGGTGACTGTTGACCTGAATATTGGCGGGTGAAGTGGACCACTCTAAATGGCGTCATACAATGGTAAATCTTTCTGTCTCTTCTGAGCATATTTTGGCAACTGGCACCTGTAAGGAGCTTGTGTTTCTATAGTGCACAAAATAGTGAACATGCATTGAGTAGTTAACCCATTCAAAGCTTATCTCTCTGGTCTTAGCCCATTTTCTAGAACACTCTGGGCCCATCACATATCTGTCTCTTGGGCCCACCAAATAGTAGCTCAGGCAGCTTCATGTGCGTGTGTTAATTACATTCCCGCTAAAATGTTAATTAATTTTTTCTTAAAAAGTGTTAATGACATTTCTACCAATGATAA